CAACAGGAAGAGGGTGTGCCTCAAGGCTGTGTGCTTAGTGTAACGCTGTTCAGTTTAAAATAAATTCTGTCTTAAAAAGAAACTTCCTCATACCATCTTGGATCACTATATGTAATGATTTACAGATTAGCTGTCGAGGAGCAGACATGAGATACATAGAGAGGCAATTGCAGATGGCTCTGAATAAGATACAAGAATGGTCAGACAAACAGGGATTTACTTTTTCTAAACAGAAAACTGTGTGCGTGCACTTTTGTAGGAAGCGAGGTCTCCATCCTGAACCTGAGTTATATCTAAATGGTACAATTATTCCAGTTGCGCCCGAAGTAAAATTTTTAGGAGTAACGTTCGACCAGAAAGAAATTGACTTTCCTTTCTCATGTTTTAATCCTGAGAAAGAAGTGTCTCAAAAACACTAAATATTTTAAAAGTGGTTGGCGAACACCTCCTGGAGTGCAGAGCGTTGCTCCATGCTTCGCATTTACAGAGCGCTTATCCGCTCTAGACTGGACTATGGCTCAGCTGTTTATGGATCCGCTCGGTTCATCTGTTTTGTTAAACTGGATCCTGTTCACCATCAAGGTTTGAGGATATGTTCAGGAGCCTTCAGGACTTCTCCTGTCCAGAGCCTGTATGTTGACTGTAATGAACCATCACTTTATCTGAGGCGTGAACAATTGTCCCTTTTGCAATATTTTAATATACTATCCCAACCTGAACATCCCAATAAGCTGTGCTTACTTGATGATGTGAGTAACGTGTTATTTGAAACACGTCCATCTTGTGTTCCTACATTTCTTTTAAGAGTTCGCCCTGTCATTGAGGAACTTTCCCTCTCTGATATGCACCCCCAAGCAGTACAGAATTTTGAAATTCCACCTTGGGAAAATGCACAGATTCAGCTTCTTGATGTTTTTAAGTGTCATGTGAAGGCAAGCACTAACGAGATTATTTACAGACAAACTCTTCGCTGAGCACAGGAACAAATATAGCAGTTATCTTCCAGTTTATACAGATGGGTCCAAGTCAAAAGATCATGTCGGGATAGCATTTGTAATTAAAGACCACATGGAGGGCAGACGCTTGCACAATGATTTCTCTGTCTTAACATCTGAACTAACTGCGATATATTATAGTCTTTTATACATCTCAAGGCTCTGCTACAAAAAGTTTATAATTTATACAGATTCGTATAGTGCTCTTAAATCATTAGAAGCTTTTCCTAATACTCATCCAGTAATAGTGGATATTCTCAAAATACATATAAACTTAATGAATCGTGGATATGAAATCCTGTACTGCTGGGTTCCCGGGCATGTGGGAATAAAAGGGAATGAGCTGGCAGATATCACAGCAAAATGTGCTGTTGAACTGTCCAGTCGTCTCATCCCTTTTGCAGACATTTGTTGTGTTGTGAAACAAAAGATCCGAAAAAAATGGCAACAACTTTGGGATGTTCAGCTTCAAAATAAATTAAGACATGTAAAGCCTAGAATTGAGCACTGGGAATTAACAAAAAATCGTAAGGAGGAAGTTCTTTTGACTCGCCTCAGAATTGGTCACACTAGAGTGACACATAGCTACCTGTTAAAAGCTGAAAATGAACCTGTTTGTTTTAACTGTAATGTTTGTTTATCTGTTCGTCATATTTTAATTGAGTGTCCATGTTTTAATAGTCTTCGCCAGAAATATTTTAATAGCTGTGACTTACCTCTCGACCGTTTAATCGGAAGAGAGGTCAATTCTAATTTATTTTCTTATTTAAAAGATATTGGCTTTTATTACCAAATGTAATTTGTTTTAAAGACTGTCTCGAATTTTAATATGTGCTTTTAATTTGTGTTTATATGACTTCATCCTCTGGATTTGGTACATTTATCTACTTGTTTTTATTTATTGAATTTTAATGTCATCAATTGTAATCATCTCATCTTTTGTTTGGCGCGTCATAATCATCTCTGGTTTTGCGCCATAATCACTCACTCACTCACTCAATGAAGATTCTCGCACCAACGATAAAGCAGACAAAGAGACAGACACCGAAGAAGCAAAAGCTATTATAGAGAGCAAAAGCAGCTCCACACACTCCCCACCATCTCTTCAAAAATCTCAAAAACCTCAGAGACTACAAAATCTGACAACCCAAAACCACAAATGTTACTTTCCAAATAGCTTAGAAACAAGCAACATCACAGACCCACAAAATCTACCTCCCTACAACGGTTATGCTGCAGGAGTGAAGAAAAAACCACAATTCCAACCGAAGACAACCAACAACTCCCAGAAACGACAACCTACTCTCCTCATCTATGCAAAAGACGCCCGAAGTATCCCGAACCTGCAAGATAAATTACAAAATATAATACCAATTAGAAAATATAAAGCAGCAAGTCACAGCGATACATCAAATTAAGCAGGGTGGATTAGCAATCAAATGCAAGACACCAGAAGATGTAACCAAACTAGAACACATCCTAAACACAACTTCACAAGCAACGGAGATTATCAGCACCAAAGTCCCAAAAATGCGATCACCGAAATGCACAATACATGCTCTTCCACCAAACACCACAGCAGAAGAAATTAAAGCAACCATTGCAAGAGCTGTTGAATGTGATCCTACAACCATCACTCCTTTATTCAAGCTTGGCGACAAAAGAACACCATCAAATGGATAGTGGAATGCACACCATCTACATTCCACAAATGCATAAACACTCGTACCGTCAATTTTGGATGGAGAATGAATCTCATCACAGAATTTGTCGGAGCCCACCGCTGTGCAAACTGTCAAGCCTTTAGACCAAAGAATGTGATTTCCGGCCACACTGTGCCTACTGCGGGGGAAAGCATAAAGAAAATGAATGCTCAGCCAACTCTCCACACTGTATCAATTGTGAAATCAACAATCTCCACTACAATACCAAGTATGAATGCCGTCACCCAGCCTACTCCAACATCTGCCCATCCTACAAAGAAGAAACAGCACGAATAAGATCACGCACTCAATATCATGAGTAATCACCTTAAACAACCAGATCCAAAGGCAAATCCAACAAGCTGCAACTCCAATAGCCAGCACTACCACGCATAGCATCAAACTACTTCAAATCAACCTCCAAAAATCCAAAACTGCAACAGATAACCTCATCCAATTCTTAACAGAAAATCACCACGATGCAATTCTTGTCCAAGAACCGTATTGCCAAGGAAACCCAAGAAACCTACCAACCACATGGAATGTCTTTTACCAGCCCAACGCAGATCCAAACCATAACCCAAGAGCAGCCATTTTTGTGATTAACAAGTCTTGGTCCCCCATTATACAGACCGCCAAGCGAGATGTAGTCACCATACAAATCACTACTCAAGACTCACAACTCTTCCTGACAAGTGCTTATGCCTCTCCAACAGAAGATTTAGAAAATACACTCCATGATCTAAACATCAACCTTTATAACACACCAGCACCACATATCATTGGCGGAGATTTTAACGCCCAAAATCAACTATGGGGATATAACCACACCTCTCCAAGAGGAAGCTCCATGGAGGATTTCATTCAAGCCAATAACCTGTTCCTGCACAATACACCAGAAGACAACCCCACATTCGAAACTATTCAATGGCAAGGGATGGCCAGATCTGACCCTCTCGACGCACCACCTGATAAACAAGATTCAGAATAGACAAATTCTAGAAGATCACACTAACTCCGATCACAACTACATCTTCTATGAAATCATTCCAAGCAATAGACCATGTTCCACACCCACAGATTCAATATCAACCAAAGAGCAGCAAGGAAATTTAAAAAAGCCATTAAACTTCAAAGCGACCTCCCTAAATCAAGAAATATCCAACTGTACCTCAAAGTCAGAACTCAACGCAACAACAGACCGTATTCTCATCCAAATCCAAGAAATATGCCACCAAACACTTAAACTAAAAACCATCAAAACTAACAGCCAATGCCAACTGGTGGACGAAGGAACTACGCATGGCACGACAAAAAACACGTGCGCTAAGACGAAGGATAAAAACGCGCACCAATACAGAGGAAAGACAATCAGCATGGCAAGACTTCAATAAGCAACGCGCACTATACAAGAAACTGATAATAGCTGCAAAATTAAAATCATGGAACAGCTACTGCTCAAACAACAAAGACCCATACGGCCCCCTCTATAAAATGGCAACATCCAAGATTTTCCGCCCTACACAAATCCATGCGTCTCCAAGAATCCAACCACAGAATAATCAGAACATATCATCAATAACACTCAATGAAATCATGGACCATATCTTCCCCACAGATGAAGAAACCGAAGACTCCCAAGAACAGACACTTATCCGTGAAGACAACACGCTCCCTACAACACCAAACGATTGTCCATTCACCATCTATGAAATTAAGAAAATAGCCAGCAAACTGAACAACAAGAAAGCACCAGGAATAGACGGAATCTCCAACACCATAGTAAAACTCATCTACCAAGAAACCCCAGATTTACTACAAAACCTTTTCAACAAATGTCTAGAACTCTCTTGCTTCCCTACCAACTTCAAAGTCGGTCAGATAATTCTCCTCTCCAAGAAAAATCGTAATCCAGAGGATCCAAGCTCATACCGTCCCATAAACCTACTCTGTTGGTGTTAAAAAGTTTCTTTGACATGTGTTCCGGCGCAGATAACCATTGAGGTTTTGTGCCAAGAAACCCATCACCATCACCATCACCCATAAACCTACTCCCAGCAATAGGCAAACTACTAGAACGTCTCCTAATATCAAGAATCAAATTTCAAATTTACCACCACAATAGAATCAGCAAGTACCAATTTGGCTTCAAACCCAACAGCTCAACCACGTAAGCAATAGACTATGTCCTAACTCAGATCGAAACAAACAACTTCAACTTCACTCCACACTTCTCTGCCTAGACCTCAAAAACGCATTCGACTCTCTCTGGTGGCCAGCTATCAGGAAGGCCCCCAGAGAGATGCAATGCCCTGCGAACTTATTCCAACTAACAGGCAACCTCAACAACAGGCAAAGTCTGGTTATCCTAAACAATACAGTAGTCTCCAAGCAACAAACCAGAGGATGTCCACAAGGGTCATGTATGAGTGCGGACCTCTGGAACATTACGTTCAATCATATAGTTGATCACCATTGGCCCATCCACACCAAAATAGTTGCCTTCGCGGATGATGTAGAATTCGTTGTCAACGGCTCAACACGAGATCACCTCCAAAACAACTGTAACGCAACTCTACAAATCTTCAACAACCTATGCCAAAATATTAAACTCCAGATATCCCATACCAAAAGCCAAGCCATTATATTCCACAAGCCAGGAAGAACAATAACAAGAAATCCAATCATCACCATAGGTAACAACAAAATTAAATGTGTTAAAACGGTCAAATACCTAGGGCTTACAATCGACCAAAAACTCAACTGGCTAGAACACCTACGTAACAAAAGAATAGTCACAAACCAAATTGCACAATCTATAAAAAGAATGAGAGGATACAACTGGGGACTCAACGCACGTATCATGAAATTACTATTAACTACAGTCATCAACCCCATTATCAACTACGCAAGTGCAATATGGGCAAGGCCCATGACGTGCAGAAAAGAAAAGCTACTCAACTCCATCCAGCGCCCCTTCCTCCTCAATATCTCCAGAGCCTTCTCAACCACTTCTACAAATGCACTACAGGTCATCACAGGCACAATGTCCCTTCCAATCGCAGCAGAAACTGAAGCCATCTGGAATACAGTACTTCAACTCCAACGAACAGCATCATTCCAAGATACCACTTGCATTCCAGAAGAATATAAAGCAATAGCCCGAAAATACAAGCACCACCCAGCAAACCACCTACACAACCTGATATGCAACATCAAAAATACTCCACCTACAACCTCATACACGGCCTATACTGACGGCTCAAAAATAGATGCCAAAGTCAGAGCAGCCGCAACACTCCACACCTCAACAGGTGCAGAAACAACATGGCAAGGCCATCTTCGACAACACAACAGTGTCTACCAAGCAGAACTGACCGCAATTCAACACGCCATCGACCTCTTCACCAACATCCCCACGGACAACGTACACATCATAAGTGACAGTCAAGCATCTATTCAAGCCATCTTAAATGAAGATAACTGCTCGCCAATAGCCCAAAACATAAGAGACAAGATCCGCAACGACAGAAGACATTTCACCATCTCCTGGACAAAAGGACACAGCACCAGCGAAGGCAACAATCGAGCAGACGAACTCGCCAAACAGGCCGCACAAGACCAAGCCGGATCCAACATTCATACACCATGGCCTCGCTCACACCTAAAACAACAACTACGACAGATAGCGCTACACGCCTGGCAACAACAATGGGATAACCAAACACAAGGTCGCAGAACATACAGAATTGCACCACAAGTCTCGGAAGACCGCCTTATCACAAAATACTACATCACACAATTCACAACTGGACATGGGCCATTCCCAACGTATTTCAAAGCACGCAACCTTGCACAAACAGACACATGTGTCTGTGGAACAACTGGAAGCCCAGAACATTACCTATTCCACTGTCACCTTACAGCCACCATGCACCCAACAAACTACGGGATTGAATTCATCAGATTCATCATAAAACACAAATTCAGTTTCTACAAATTCAGAAAATCCTCGATTACCTCAACCAAACAGGACTTGAGTTATGCAGCCCATAAAGAACAAATCAAGAAAGAAATAGCCATCATCAATGCCCATCAACAAAAATCAAGCAAGCATCCCTAGCAGTGCCCTCCTCCTCTCAAAATAATCCAAGTTGTTAAAGCCAACAACAATTCAACAAAATACCAAGGAAAACCACGTGTGCTCCAAAAACCACAACCACCAAATGAACTCATTGAAACTCAAGAATTTACTGAACTTTATGGACTCAAGAACTCTATGAACCTTTGAACCATCTAAAGTGCTCACCCATAAAACTCATTAAACACTATCCAGCAATGTACCTCCACTTGTAAATATTGTAATATAAATAATTAATCATTCTTATTTTTATTTTTACTTTTATTTAAAATGCTATTATATCCTTACTTATACCAATGTTGCAATCCTGTATTTAATTTACCATTATTATCTAAACTGCTTATCATATTATTATTTAATACTGTACCAATGTTTGCAACGATACCTCTGCATGTACCTATCTTGTAATATATTGTATCCTAAATTTATTTTATTTTTATTATTTAACTGCTTATCCATTTTCAGTTTTAACATACCCATGTTTTCACGAATACCTCTGCAATGTAAATCGCCCTGTAAATAATTGTGTCTTAAATCTGCTGAATAAACTCCCCCCGAGGCTACCAAGGAGAGACGCTACACACGAGAGGAAAGGAATCTCCGGTGAGCGAGGATGAGCAGAGAAACCAATAACTTCCTATTCCCCGGCTTTTAGGGTGGGAGTGTGGACGGCGTGGCTGTGGTCCGGCTGCTGGGCGGGGGTGCCCCGTGGGCCACTTTCATCCAACACCACCAAAGCAGACTCAAACACCTCGGCGCCGCGCGTGGCGCTCCAGTGCCTCACGGGGTGAGGTCTTCTCTAGATGGCTAGTATGACGGAGCAATACCTAATCTGCCTAAGGCGATGTACAGGTGCTCCCCATACTTTATCCTGTCCTGTCTAGAGCAACCAGAGCCGTGTGGACTACCGACCTGGTCAGACGTGTGTTGACATCGCTCCGGGTTTTTGCGTTTTTAATGGTGTTGAAAGTGCCGCCGGAAGCGCGCCGTTTGTGTTAAAAGGTGTATGAAGGTCTAGTGAATCTGTGGATATCTCGTTTGTGTGTCTGCGATAAGTGGTTCCTTCACAATTTGTGTTTTTGTGATTTAACAATGGATTAACAGGCTGCCGCAATTTCAACGGAAAAGTGTTGACATCTGCTGCCGCCCTACTGACGGAAGGTGTCCCGCCTGCCACCACGTGGTTGCTGAGGTAGGCTTAACTTTTTCCTTCAAAATTTTCTAAGTCCAGAAATTCTACAATAGTTTAAAAAAATTCATATCTTCGTTAATTTTAATGCTTTTTCTACCGGGTTTTCATTAAAAATAATCAAATTTATTGTTCTATCTTTTGGTATAATTGATTTTTCTGTAACTACGTTATTTTAGGAGATAGCATGTAAATTCTTTATTTATGCCCACTTCTGATTTATGTAGCTCCTAGTATACTAGGCTTAGCTAGTAAATCAATTTATGTTAGCTCCAGAGGGTTGGTCCAAGTGGCAAACTATTTTCGCAAATATTTGAACATTGTCGAAATCTAAAAACTTTTGTCGAGAACCGTTCTCGACAGTAGGACTTTCGTCGAAATCGCACTCGACAAATGTTTCTCTCTCGTTTTACTTCATTTATAATGATAAAAAGTGTGTTTGCTATTTTATGCTATTTTGATGATTCAATTATGTTCTTTTATGTATTTTATTACTTTATTTGTGATTCTTAAATAATTTAATATATTATATTGGTGCTTTATTATTATATTTATCACATTTGTTCCTAATGTGCATACTTAGTATCATTGAATTGTGCACTTAATTTTGTTGTTTTAAATCAATTTTATCTTGCATCTAATAATAATTATTGAGTGTTATCCTATGTAATTCTATGTTATTCTGTTGGTACAATTACCTACATTTATGTTTATCTGTTCTGATGAATATCAACTGCTGAATTAATAATTAAGAAGTGTTACCATTGTGAGGTCTCTCTGCCAATAGCAGATTCTACAACTAGTAATATTATTGTAATATTTTTGAGATTTCTGTTTGAACTTCTAATTTACTTATCATAATCAGTTTTTACGGATTTCTGTGTGTATAATTGTGCTTACATGAGATAATATATACAACCATGTCTCGCGCATCTGCCCTGCCACTTGAGGATACGAGTGACGATACATGTGAAGATTACTTAGATTTTCATTCTTTGGCAGTGATAGACTCTGACTTGAGTCATTCAGACAAAGTTAACCTGCTATTTGAGCATATTTTCACTATAGTAAACGCACAACGCTCCTCCAAACATTTGATTGCGCTGCAACCACGTGAGAAGCTTGTTAACTCATTATGAGCTTTAAGGGATCTGGCCTTAAAAGATCCAGACTATATTCCACCTCCTGCCACTACTGATACTGCCGTCAATACGTCAACTCTCATCTGTTGTGAGGCCATTCATAAACACCCACATCCTCAGCAGCAGGACAGCTATTTCGGATCCACTCCCTTTTCCTACTGCAGGTCCGAGTCCATTCTATTCGGAGGTTTTACAACGAACAGCTCCAGTTTCTAAGCCTTTGCCTTCCTTGCTGGTATATCCCAAGGAGAATATATCAAGTAGAAAACTTCGGGATCAACTCGCACAGGATTTTCCATTACCCAAGTTGGGAGTGCAGGTACAACAGATAACGCTCAATTCGACGGGGAGGTCTTGCAGTTACTTGTACCACGGAAGAAGATCGCGACAAATTGGCTGCAACCTTATCTAGTGACAAAGCATCCACTTTGGTTGAAGTTAAACATCCATCCTTCAAACGACCATTAGTTGCCATACATAATATTTCACCTGACATTCAGGAAGAAAATCTACAATCTATCATACACGACGAATTTGAATTAGACTCTTCGGATTTTAAGTTGCTCTTTCGATTAAAAGAAAGACGCAATGTCAAATGGGTGGTGGAGTGTAGCCCTCGGGCCTTCCACCTCTTCATGCGAAAACCAAAGCTCTATATCGGATGGCAAGGACATTCTATCACGGAGCACTTCAACGTCCGCCGTTGTTATAAATGTCAACGGTTCGGACATTCACAAAAAGAATGTCGCAGCAATTCCTACTGTTCCTATTGCGCAGGCCACCATCCCCACAAAAGACTGTCCTGCCAATGAGGATTCAGCCGTCGCATGCATCAACTGCATTGATTACAACAACACCAACAGAAGTTCCATCCTAATTGATCATGTCGCATATTCAAACACCTGCTTCTGCTACCAATCTGCCATTGCTCGCATCCGCCGTCTCACCAACTATGAATAGAGATGTATCCGCAGCATCACACAGTATTAGAGTCTCCACCAGCTCTTCCACAGACGTTCCTATGACCTCAACCTCTTATAACGCTACAACACCTAATAACTCCACCTGTACAATCAGCACCTCAATCAACCTTGACCAGACAACTACTCAGCAAAAGATACAATTCGTTCAAATCAATCTACAAAAATCGCGTGCAGCCACAGCCCATGCCGTCTCATATGCAATCAACAACAACACCCACATATTACTGGTTCAAGAACCATATACCAGGGAGGGTAAGATTGCTGGTTTTCCCTTAAGATGGACGACCTTCCAAAGAATTGACATGCACGAACCTCCTCGCGCTGCAGTCATAATCTGTAATCCACTATGGACTCCACTAACGCTTAAAACTGAGAGAGATCACATTGCCATTCTGCTGGAAATAATAGGACTTAAATCGTCTTATACTCTATATATTCTCCTCCTTCAGCACCACTTGAACCTACCTTACGCTTCCTGGACAACATCAGTCAGACATATCAAATTCCTCATCACCTCATCACAGGAGACTTTAACGCACATAGTAACCTCTGGGGATATTCTCAAACTGATGTCAGAGGCAGCAAACTTGAAGATTATATCAGCTCCCGTAATCTAATATTACATAATGCCAACGACTCCCCACCAACATTTGAACATGCCTCCACATATGGCTGGCCGGATTTAACTCTAACAACCAACTCCCTAGCTTGCTACATACAGAATTGGTCTGTTGATGATACCTGCGGTCTGTCGGATCACAACTACATCGCTTTCCATCTAAGCAAAGAGACGAATACCACCATCATTCGTCGATATAGACTTCCAGGCCACAAGATCAGCTTTTCTACGACGGACAGCATCCTGTTTAAATGATCTTGACTCCCAACTGCAACGCTGTTCAAACTCAGAGGATCTGAACAAATTCACAACCCATCTTCTAACCTCATTACAAAACATCTGCAACGATCTCCTACCACAAAGAACCGTAAAGAAACTAACAGCTATTAATTGGTGGAATTCCACTCTTAGAACACAACAGAAATGTCGCTCACTGCGACGTAAACTAAAGCAACTGCGTAGTCAAGGAACTACTGGACGCATACTGGAGGTCTATAGACGTGAACGAGCAAGATACAAGAGAATGATCGTAGAGGCCAAAATTCAATCTTGGCACCGATTCTGCACTGAAAATACTGAAACATATGGCCTGCACCATAAAATAGCTGCGGACAAGCTATTCAAACTTACTACCCTGCATGCTCCTTCCACACTGTACATTCCTCCGCCGGACTGCAATGTGGACACTATTCTGCACACACTAATAGACACAATTATCCCTACGGATGACCCTGCAACAGACACCTTGGTACAAGCAGAACTTCGTCAGATATCAACATCAATATCAACACCTCCAGATGTCGACTTTACAACCGCTGAGATCTCACAAGTGGTAAAGAATCTTCCAAGGAATAAAGCGCCGGGACCGGACGGCATAGATTACAATATCATACGAATTACCATTCTCTCCAACTTAAGGTTCTTCTGCATTTACTTTAATAAATTACTGCAAACCGGTACCTTTCCTACAGAATTCAAAATAGGGCAACTCATCCTTTTCCTCAAAAAACCAAATGAATCTTCTACTACTCCATCTTACCGTCCGATAT